CAAGATAATGATCTTCTCTCCATTTCATAAAGAATGTGGAGGGAGAAGCCCATTTCATAAAGAATGTGGAGGGAGAAGCCCAAAAAGTGCTACCTTTGAAACAATGAGAATGCTTATGGGCAAGGAAGGGTAGAGTTGGATCCAGAGTTAACAAGAAAAGTTGGTTTTGTTTAGGAAACAGGAGCACAAGAACATATCTAGACTATAACCATGGAAACTCTGACTAAACATGACAAAATCTAAGAAAAACACCACAAAAGCACGTAAAAAGCACACCCGCATAACGTCGAGCTCTCTATATATTATATATTGTATTGTTAGTCTTTTTTTGTGTAATATATTGTGCGCGTGCGCAGGTAATTACTATTAGTATATACATGTATAACAAGAACTCCCCAAAAACGGGCTCCTTGGAATCCTCCAGCTCGGGGAAGGCCCTCCGGTGGAACATCATCGACTCGTTGGCGATGTCGGTGAAGCTCAAGGCCTGTGGGGACCGCCACGTCGTCAAACCGGGGTCCACGGTCCATCCATGTCCATGTCCACATACACCCGTCTACGGCCAAAACCTGCAGGAGGGTGAATCAAAAGGAACTAAGTCAAAAGGTCTGAGGAGATCTCTTTTTCTTCACCCTTTCGACCTGGTTCCTTTCGCGATTCGCGGCACATGGTGGGCTGAATGAATGCCGGGCTCCAGGTGCCATGACCCATTCGCTGAAATATTTAAGACGTAGATAATAAGGCTATAGATAATATTATATATAATAGGCAGAAGATAATATGGCTAGAGATCATATGCCTTATCTATATGCCTTTATCTATATGGGAGAATAAGGATTCTCCCAACAACGACTTGGCCTCGCCCAGTCGCCCAGTGCGTCGTGGAGAGTCAAGCCATACTTGGCCAGAGTTCTCCGACTGGGACGTCTTCAGAGTCTTCAACCGCCCAGTGGCTTTTTCATGAGACCCAAACGTTGTAGCAGAACTTCTGGTATTCTAAGACCGACCTCCAAATAGATAGTGGTTGGAGGAGGTTGGTTGGTGGTTGGTTGGTTGGTGGTTGGTGGATGGTAAAAGTAGATCCAAAAAAATGTATTGGACACCGTGCCACTATCCATTTGGGGACCTCTCTCAGACTCATGGATGTGTTTCCCCGTGGCCTTTTGCTCTGAGGGGATGCCAGGAGCAGAAGTGATTTTGCAGCCAAACCATCAAAGCTGGGGCTGCATTCAAGTTTCATGTAGCAGAATAGGACAAACCTGAAACAGGAATCCCGTGAGACTGTTCATTCATCCACTATCATTATATATCATCACTATCATACATTGAGCTGTGAGAGAGAGAGAGAGACACTAAAATAGATGGTAAATGCTAGAACTCTTAAAGAGGTGCCTATATTCACAGCCCCCGCATTCTGGGGTCTTCGAATGACTTCAGATTCTCCATGCACCGGCACCGGCACGGCAGAAGTGCAGAAGCGCCTCGCAGGTGGAAGGTGTTCCGCAGAATGCACGATCGATGACCTGGTCGAAGGTCCAAAGACCGGTGGTGACGAAGGTTCCGGACGCAAATGTGATGTGGGCAACACTGCCCAGTGGTGGATGAAAACCATGGATGTCACATTCCTTGACGTGAATGTGGAACACAGAACACTGGACTTAAAGCTCAATGGCGGTGAGGGCCATTTGAGGGCATGGCCACGCTGGTTGGACTGCTTCTCATCTTGAAGAACCACCACCCACCCAAAGCCAGCAGAAAATAGGGAGCCTTCCGCGCCCAAGAAGACCCACCACCTCTTCCCGATTCCCAGTTTGGAGGCCTTCTTGTCCAAGCCAATGCATTGGAAAATCTGCGCCCCTCGATAGGACTCCAAGACTGTGATGCCCATCTTGGACATGATCTTCTTCAGCCCAGCATTCACGGCATCCTACCAGCGCAACGTCGTGCAACGTCATGCATTCATGGCTGGCAGCTGACCCCAACATGTAGAAGATAGGAGAGCCCCCTGCGAATGGTCATCACTGGGCTACTCAAACGACCAATTTTCATGCCATTTTGCCGCAGAATTCGATGTTGGCATCCACTGGTCACCCAAGAGAGCCAAATGGAACCCGATGCGAAGGAGTCACCCGATGATTTTCACACGTTTTGCCGAGGATCCTTGTAGTTCCGCTGCACCTCCTCCACCGTCCTTGGATCGACCCCATGGTGAGCTGCAGGTGCCTGAAAATCCCTGTTTATCAAGGTTCACCGTCTGGAAGTTGCTCTACACATTCCCCCTCTTGATGGTGCAGCTGGTGCAGGTCACTTATATATATCCTGTGATCATCTCAAGGATGGTGAGAATACAACTACAGGTGCCGGGCCTGGTGCCAGTAAAATCAAGCATCAGGCAGCCACAAGACGCACCAACAAAAACATTGTTCTTCACCACCCACCTCACCATCCCTCACCATCCTCCCCCTTTCTGCCCTGCTCATCTGAGGATCTGCCCATCTGCCTTGGCAGCACCCTTGTCAGTGGCATGCCACTTGCGGATGTGCGCCAGCGCCAGGTAGGGGCACACGGCACTGGCGCCGTAGCCGATGAGGCAGGCGAAGTGATGAGTGCTCCAGCACTGGCCGGTACTCACCTCAGGAAGGACTGGCCACTGAAGTGCCACGAAGGACTGGTCACCTGGGAGGTTCCCTGGTCTTCAGGGATGTGGCACCACCCACATGGATGCAATCAAATCCATCCATGGCCGGGACTAAATGTTGGTGGAGTAGTTAGGGAGGACGTTCTGAATGCCCATCCTTTAAAGCTTTGGTGAGACCAAAAATATTCGGGCACGCAAAAAGGTCTACTGCAGAGCCAGATTGTGAAATTTCTACATTCATGGCAACTTTAGACAGCTCACAGGCAATCATCATGTCATTGCAACACAGCTATAGTTAAACCATGTTTAAACCCGTGATCATTCACCAACAGTTCAAGCGTAGTGACAAATTACGCCCTCAACAGTAATATATCCTTACCAGTAACAGGATGATGATGGTTAGTTAGTAAATGCCTCTCAAAAATAGTCACAATCTTTTACCGACTGTTACTGGTAAGTGGCTACACCCTAGTTATATCATGATTCATCTCTTCCGGCGCGGGCGGTTTTTCTGCACAGCACAGCTCCACCCAATCCGCCAAGGGGCCACCAAAGAAGCTTGAGTCCTGAAGGCTTGGAGAATTCTGTTTCCTTACACATCTTACACATCAAAATACACATCAACATCTGCTAAACGTCCATCTTTACCCTGAATTGTCATGAACCCGAAGAATCCTTCACCTGTCCATGGCAGGGTCGGACCCGACACAGAAACGCAGGGGTCCGGGGCCTCAACGCGATATATCTGTTGGTTCGGGCCCGGATTCTTCGGGAAGTATAAAAATACGTCAACTCACCTGCTCAGACAGGCCGCCACCTCCTCCCTCCCATCCATCAGATCGCCCTCCATCCCTCCCCGACCCGCCTCAAGCCCTGCTGGATGAGGTAGTGATGGATGGCACCCACCGCCAAGAGTGGTGGAATCGCTAAGACGGAACGCTCCAGGCCGATGTCCTGACAAGCGGTGCACGAAGTACACATCCTGATGAGAATCTGTTGGCTGAGTGGTTCCTGTTCAAAAGTTCGAAGTCAACCAGAACCAATTATCGTCGCACCAACACTCAATGAATGTCAAGACAACTTTAAGGATATAATGAAGACACTTAATAGCAAAGGAAGAGGAATTAACTTGAATGAACAAAAACCTTTCTTGGCTGAGGGTCAGGATCAGGATCTTCCACATCGAAGTTGCTCAAGAAATCTGAGTTCCGCGGCCTCGGGTGTCCATTTTCTCGAAGACCGTAGACCGTGACTCGTGTACAGCTTGGGTATGGAAGAAGCCCAGGGGCGCTTTTGAGCCAAATGTTCTGGGAGCAGGACATTGCTCTCCAAACGCTCGGACTCTACCTCTTCTACCCTGCAACCCTTGCCGCCCGTGGACACATCGGAGATGATGATGAGCTCCGCCCCGTTGCGGATGGCGTTGGAGGCCTCGTAGCCTTGGCGCCGCGTCTTTATGCTCGGAGGCGATGAAAAACCGACAATGAACACATCCGTCCGCCATTGGTCCTACATCCCGGCAGGTCCGACATGGGTTTGTCCGGTGGTTTTTGCTATTCATTCAGATTCATGTATGGGGTGCTGATTGGTGTTCAAAGTCTGGTGTCCTGTCTCTTTTGCGAACCCGAATGCATGACGTGAACTTCTGGAAGTCGCCAAAGGAACCGGTTCTCGCGTCGTTGGCAACAACCAAGGACCAAGCGGCCTAGCGCAGCCAAGGAGCAAATGTCTGAGACGGCTTTTTCTAATGCACCTGGACCTTTGCTGTGGTCATAGCGCGTGCTCAGCTGGACGGTCAGAAGGCCACTGTTTTTGATGGCCTCAGAGGGAGGCTGGGAGGGGAGGCAAAGGACAGGAATCCTTTGGAAACTTGACCAGTCAAAGTCGTCGAAGGAACTGGGAATTAGCAGATGTGACTTCGAGGGAGCAAGGCTTAATATGCACTCGATGCCACTTGCAAGGAAGCTAATGAACATGCGAGAATGGAGTTGGCATGGTCTGATGGTAAAGCTTCCGCAAGCGATCATCGGCCACGTGCCACCTTCCTACCTATCAGTATCTTCAAGCGGCTGGGTTCTCAGACTGAGTCCCTGACATAAAGCTGCCTCTCATTCAGAAACGGCGAGTCGATCTGGCCAGGGCGAGGCAAACAATAAACGCCGCAGAAAGGGCCTTCCAAAGTGGGACACATTCCCAGTACGACGTCTCCCTGGCACCAATTAAGATCATTCAGCCGCCCATCTGCGCAACGCGTAGTTTTTGGAAAGCCGTGGGCTGTGCAGTCCTTTGACTTTGGCCATTGGCCCTTTCACTTGACCACGACCCTCCTGGCCTTGACTAATCGATTGTTGGCCTTGTTCTGAAAGTAGGTCGGGCTCTCAGCCATCAAGTTGCCTTCAAGCACTCGCTGGACATCACTGGACTGTCAACATGCTATGATTTCTCGATCTTCGTGAATGAGGTCGCAACTATGAGTTTCACTCACATGTTTACTTATGGGTTCGTCCAGATTGTTTGCAAATTTGTTGGCGTCTGAGAAAAATCCTTCACCTTACTTACGTATTCTCAACTCTCCGCAACTCGAGTCAAGCAAGCGACCTCTCAGCTCCACTAGTCTTGGGGCGACGCCCACCTTGCCGGCCCAGATAAACGTTGATGGACATCACCAGAGATTCCCGATAAGGGTCGATGGCCGGATTGGTCACCTGCATGGGCTCCATCAGAGCCATGGGCTCCGACAGCACAACCGAGATGGTTTTCGGTCGAGGGTTTTTTGGGGAGGGTCGAAGGACCAACACCTCTCCAAAAACCGCTTAAAAGCGGCGGATTCTCGGCGATTCCGGGGCTCTTTGAGCCTCAAAAAACAAAGCGTTCAGGTTTCCTGTGTTCGATGAATTCAGTGATCAATTCAGAGCTCGAGTAGTCAGCCCCCATGCTCGGTTTCCTCTGAAACGCCTCCGTACTAGGGTGCTTGGGCCCGCCAGAGCGAAGGACCCCGAGAAATCGGACCGGACCCGATGTGCCGCGGTGACCCGATGTGCCGCCTGGGCGAATCGCTGGGTGAAATAGTCGTAGAGCACATGAGCCTGGCATCCACGGAGAAGACGCCGGGTTCGGCGCCAGGAACTGAAGAGAGTCATAGACTGATCATGTGGCATCCAGGGCATCCATGGGAATAGCAGAGAACACGGAAGGCCAACCTGCCAAATTTTGCCATCAAGGGATCATGATAGGGAATGCATGGGAATGCTATTTTCTGAAGGCTTCAGTTGGCACAAGGGAACACAGCGGTTCATAATTAATGGTTCATAGGGGCTCATTGGGGAAGAAAATGATCGCAAGATCCTTCAGAAGGCCTCATGTAGGATCTCAGGCTTCCTAGATCTTCTGAGGTCTAGATCTTTTCCAGGCTTGGAGGGTGAGACGACCTTTTCGACTTCCAGAGTTCAGCCGCGGCACGCGGTCCGAAAGCACCGCCAAGGGCTTGTCCTTGGCGCAGCGCCGCAGATGGGGCAAAGTGGTCCTACGATCACCTCCCCCAGGTGAATAGAAAAACCTGCCTCTTCATAATGGATTCATATGGGGGGTTATGAATCAAGAGCCTGCATTGCAGTGTTCTTCTTCTTCTTCTACAGCAGGTGCCCAAGGTGTGATGTGAGCCAACAACTGCACGAGAGGAAACGAGTCCCTTACCCTCTCGAAAAAAAAAACACACACATTATCTATAGTAACTATAGATGCCAAGGGGGTGGTGGAGCTCAGCTCCTATACTCCAAAACGAAAAGGAAGACACCCGCTTCCGTCCCATCCAAGATGGTATCAATCAGCTTCCGGGTCGTTCAGACATGTTGTCCTCTCTTTTTCCTCACACCGGCGGCTCCAGGTCGCTCGGGACCCCAGGTTCGGAGGTTGGCGGATCCCCTGCGAGGTGCATTGCCCATACAGAAGGTGGGCTCTCTGCCCGTCTGTGCCATGGACTCCACCACCATCTCTACATCCTCCAGCTGCGAGAAAATGGACTTAGGTTGATCTTGGGATAATCTTCAATGCTCTTTCAAAAACACTGTTACTGTTCTCACGGCAGATCGTGTTGGTCTTTTCTTATTGGGTAGTTTATGGAAGCTTGGTCTTAATCATCACAAGAGGACACCAGGGCCCAGGGCCCACAACAAACATGGGGAGATGAGTGGATCGGGTGTAGACAGGACCCCATGGCAGAAGATACTTCCTCGATCGTGTAGCCCATGTCGAAAAGCAAGGTCATCAAGTTGTCTTCCATGGCCTGCAACAAACCGATTGGCACACGATCCGCAACATGATTGTCCTTATTCCATGCTTCAGACTGAGAAGAAGCAAACGCTGCGAGGACTTTCCACAAGAAGCGCATACACAGTGGCCAGCTTTTTGTGAGAATAAGCACGCCTTGGGCACCACTAAATCATGATCTTTGGACAAGAAGGGCTCCAAGTCCATCTCTTCCCTGAAGACCTGCTGCGAGGCTGGCTCTCCTACGACCGAAATTGTCCACAACAGAAAAAGCATAGAGTCAGGCCCGGCCCCACAATCCACAACATGCATCAACATGACGTCCTTTGTTCAGAGATGCGCAAACGACTCAAACACATGGCCAATCAAGCCCCAATGAGCTGCCTTGTTCCAATCACCATAAGGCTTCTTGGAGGCCATCCTCGGAGCCGTTCACCTACCCTGGGTTGAGTCGGCTGGGCACCTTTGATTCACCAGCCATGCCAAGGGTGGTTGTTGGGACAACTGACAACCAACTAGTAACTATAGTGCCATCTTAGTAGTCCGTTCACATGGGTGCGCATTGGAATAGGGCGACAACCGAACGAAATGGAGGTGTTTAGGGTGTCTCTGTCTCCCATGTCTCCCTATTTTTTTAACGCGCCCACAATCGCCCACATCTAATCATACTGGCTGAGCTGCTTTTGCTTCACCGCCTCATTCTCGATCAGCTCACCTGGCAGGGCAAGGTCATTTCCTCGCGAACTGGGGGAATCAGTTGGTGAATCCATCAATGAACCACAGCCAATCCACCACCAGTCCACATTTTCCGATGTTGGCCAATGAATCATTCGCAATTTGCATCTGGTGGAAGCTACATTCATATATTTATATATATATACAATATATAATCGTCATTATAGACACACAGGATAGCCAGTATAGTTCATTGTTCTATTTCAGACAAACGGACGTCTAAGATCTGTTTCAATCGATCTGGTTCTCCTTCTCCTGTTTCGACGTTTCCTCGCCTGTGTGCAGATCGATGGCGACCATCTTTCCCGGGCCCAAGCGCCCTTTGGATTTGAACATGTCCTCGGCGCTCCATGATGTCAGGGCGCGCTCGATGTCAGCGTGCACCACTGACTCGATTGTATTGCATCCGGATCCGGAAATCCCGGTTGGACCCCTTCTTCCTGGCTACAGTAAAACTGGACTTGGTCAACCAGGCCGGCGGCCTGTCCTTTTGCCCTATGAACACCGTAGTCTGGGATGAGGCCTGGCCCTGGGATCTGTTTTCGGTTGCATGCAAAGACCCAACTAAGAGCAATTGAACCGAGTGCTCCACCACGGAAGTAGTCTACTGCACTAATTCATGCCATTCAGCCATCCCATGGAATTGGCCGTCTGGTCTGCCTGGCATCTTCCCTTCTTCGCCAGGTCGCTGGTGGAAAAAGGTTCTTCTCCAATATGCCAGTTTCGGAGCTCACCACACAGGTGCCATCCTCAGCAGAACGATAGCTTTGTGATATCAAGGCCCGGCCCGAGTGGTCTCACTAGAACATTGGCCCTTCAGAACTGCCCAAGACATGCCCCAAATAGACAAACACTAGGTGGTCCAAGGTCGAAACCGGAGCCCCAGCTGTTTGAGGAAAGGCTGGGCCAAATGCCCAGAGGCCTGGGTGTGTGAACATCGGGAGACCCTCCCGGTTTCCAGTTCGACCCCCTTCAGGAAATATATAGAGCAGTCTACCCGGCTGGGAGGTACCAAACCCCCGTTTTTACTGGGCAGCATGTACCAACCCGCCGTCCAGTCAGGAATTCGCTGATGTATAGACTCTTGATTCAAAAGCCACCCCTTCAAAGGGGGAACTCCCCGGTGCTGAGTCTAGCTGTCTCACAGCTGTCCCACACACTGACCTTGACGGAATAGCGGCCTAATGCCGGTCGCACCGGCAATTGGGGGTGCAAAAAGTGATGACTTGTCCTGTGACCTGACTTCCTCAAGCCCCTCAGCAGCTCAGGCACGTGCAACTGAAAGTAGCGAGCAGGGCGAAGGCCGTTTCGGTCTAAGGTTGCACCTTAGATGCTTGAAGATGGGAGCCAGCTGGATCTATTTTCAGAAACCTGCAGGATGGCAAAGAAGAGTGGTAATCCGTAATCCTGTTTCAGTTGCACCTGTTCTGGCCACGCCCACCTGCACCTGCGTATGATGATGGCCTTTGAATACCGCCCACTAAATTACCTATCTACCAAATTGGATAAAATCATAGCACACCTTTACTTAACCACCTCTTAGTTGGGTGGAAAATGTATTGACGACCCCTGGGAACTGGGAAACCCAGGTGCCTTGTGAATCAAACATCCACGGCTCAACCAAAGCAATGACTGCTAAAGGGACTTGGAGAAGGGACCAAAACCAGCAATCCACTGATTGGGTAACCCATGATTGCAATCCTCTACGTGAGTCGATCCCGTTCACCGTCTATCCACCATCTGCTTCCTCGGACCCCTTCAAACTCCCAAATAGCCGAAATTCCTACATCCAGACCCACCACCATCCTACAACATGTGCGCATGGGTCGACAATCTTCGCAATCTTCCCCTCCAAAAAACCGGAGGCCCATGTGCACATGGCCCTGGGAATTCTCCAAAAAAACCAAGAGGCCCATGTACTCACCGTCGCAGAAGGCCACCAATGCGGGACCATCCCAGGCCTCCTGCAGAGCGCCCCAATACCTCGGGCGGGAGCCGAAGAATCGGCGACAGGCAGTCAAAACAAGGGCACTCACCATGTGCGTCAATAGAATTACATTATATAAATATATATATATTATATATTATATAAAATATATATATATATATATATATGTATATGATTATATGTTTATAACGTCTCTTTATTTAGTTAGGTGCAACACCAGGCTACTGGTTCTGCCAAACGGCAAGAATCATTTTAACACAAAGCCAGCCTAAGGCCTTGCCCACCACGGCACTCGTAGAAGTCTTTAATATCACCGGAGTCGTTGTCCTGCACCCAGGGTGCACGAAAGTCGCTCGCGCAGCGGAGCTCACGATCCGTTGTGAGCAGCATGGGTGGTGTGTGATGATCCCCAGCTGCAAGTGATCGAGTACTGTCCTTGTAGGCTTCTGGGATCATCATCATCAAAGCTTCAGGCAGCTCTCGGTTGCACCGAAGCATCAATTCCAAGTAACCTTGGATTTTGGGCTCCGATGGGAATAGATTACTCGAGGATGATGGGTATTTTATGGTGCTTGGAAGGTCACACATCGTACTGAATCAATCTTGACCCGCTTGCGGTGGGGCTGGGACATATCCGAGGGATACATTTAGATCCAAACCGCTGCCAGGTCTTTAGATTGGGTGCGCACCCCAAAAATCTTAGAAAAACCGTCGAATTCGTGCTGACCCTTGTTCGAATCTATGGGGACGGCCAAGCTCTTGATCAGCCGCAATCCGATCCACCCACCAAGTCCTAAAGCATACCTGCCACAACTCCATACTGCACAAATCAGACTTGGGCCATCCAAACCCACCTGCCATCCAAACCCGCCCCGTCCGGACTCTCTTCGGTCTCTCTCCGCCCGATTGGGTCGTTCTAAACGACCGCGACGAGTCGTTCACCGCTCCGAGTGGCAGTCCATATTTCCGGAGTCACTGTTCTCGGCGCGGCAGGGAGGCAGCACCTCGGGCTGGAGGCGAGTCGTTGCGTCACGAGCTGCGAAACGAAGCACCGAAGGAAGGTCACGGTCTGCGAAACGAAAACTGCATCCTTCTTGAAAGAGCCAGCATGGTTTAGCCAATGGATTCAGAAAATGCATTCGATATCAAATCATGTTGCAAACACTGAATCTCAAAATCAACGGTAGGGCCTTTCAAGCATGTCACACCTGACTCCTGCAAGATTGGAAGGCATGTCAACGACTTACAATTTTTTGCTCTGCTAGGTGGTGCACGTGGGTCCGTCCTCAACATGGGAAGTTTGAACTTGCACACTCAAAAGCATCCCGCGTAAGTTGAAACATAAGTCATAGCACATCTAGCTTAGCAATGACAACATAACACGTAACTACCTCGTAGTGGAAGTCCTCATCCTCTATTGAGAACCGGGCTCCAAACACCGCGGCTCTGCAGGCTCACCGGTATTGGCCCATGTTGTGAAGGCCAACTACTCCATTGGTCTTGTCATGTGTGGGTGTCATGCAACCCTTCGGCCTCCATTCGCCGTTCACGGCCGGCCTCGCGCATGCGATAGCCGAAGTTGGGATGTTCGAAGGAGCCCGAGCGCGCCCGGGTCCAATTGTAGTTGCCTGGGAGCAGCGACAAAAGCCACCTGGAGGAATTGGTTTCAAAAGGTTTCAAACCGTTAGTGTCCCAGGATGTTCGGATTAGAAATCCATCAACCGTTGGTTTTCTGGAGAATCCGTCGCCTCCTGCACGTGTTGCAGCAAACTCGTCCATGTTGCATGATTTGTCCTGCCACCTTTTACAACATCTTGGCCGCACCGCCTTGGCGCTTGGACAGTCGACCGACCATTTAATTGGCTTCCTCCAAAACCAAGTAGATGCTAAGCTGCCAAACGATTCCTTGTCCAACCAATTATAAATGGGCGAAGCAAGAGCCTTCCAAGAATGCAATATAGTTTGCCATCTCTTCCTCTTTAACAAATAAGTGCGACACTGCTCAACAAAAGCCCAACACCATTTTGCCCAACCGCACCTTGGATGGTGTTGATCTCTCCGTTGTGGCCCAAGTAACCTGGCCGGCCGTGGTGTACGATGACTATGGGCAATCGGCTTGATGGAACAAAAACTATTACTAAGGTACGAGACTGCTACAAGACTCTCAAAGGGGTTCAGGCAAACCTTCCAAACATGAATTGAATCTCCCGCAAAATGTCAGTGACTTCATGTTCTTGATGCAAACTCCCAAGAAGATGAGGTAGACTCTTGCCCATATGAAGAGGTGTTGCAACTCAAATGGAGGGTTCTTAATCAAAAGTCTACATGATATTCGCTCCCATTCTCTTGGACTCTTACCTCAAAGATCCTTAGGTGGTGACCCTGTGAGGCCCTTGCGACAGAAAGAAGTGACCCAGGTCGTTGCAGCAGGTTTCCCCTCCTGAGTCCCTGAGTTTCTTGGACCTTTTTCTCCCACAGTTTGCTTGTGCTGTTCTGCCACAGCTCCATGCAACACGGTACTTTTCCGGGGGTGGAACTCAAGCAACCTCCGAACATACGACGAACGCTGTGCAAGAGCTTAGAAGCAGGCGTCACTCAGATGGGTGTGCATTAGGGAGACCGAACCGCCGGCGTTCCGATCCCCCTGGGTTCGGTTCGGAGAATAGACCACTATACCGAGCCAGGGCCGTCCCCGGGGTCCCCCTATTAAAATACACACCCATATAATCCCATATATGCTTCTGTGGCTGGTTCTCTTCCAAATGAGCAGACATGAGGAGAATAGGCAACCTGACCTGGGAGGGAACAAACCTACCAGGATCAGGCTCCGGGTGCTATGACCCACACCGCTGATCCTCCTAGCGGCGGAAGGGCTGCGCCAAAGGCCAGCGGGGCATCGTGTTGGTGCTGAAGCGTCGATGCCTCGTCAGTGCTGAAGAGGTGAAGAAATGGCCAGCGCAAGGAATGAGTCGGTAACATGTAGACTCATTGATTCTTGAAACCACCCAGGCCTGAAGAGGTTGCTCAATCAAAATAATTAGGATGGATTCGTAATGAATTCTAAGGGTCATGAGTCATACGTGTCTATACATTACTTGGTCTCTCAAGTTGGTTGAGTCACGGTGCTCGCCACAGGCAGGACGCCCCGCCAACCATTCAAAAGGAACGCCCGAAGGCAACACCAACACTATTGGTATTCGAAGGGACCAACAACGGTTCCACTCTCCCGAAGGCAAAAGGGCTGGTTGCAGTACAGAATCCTTGTCAAGAACTCTGACCAGCACACGAATGCACAGGAGGATGTCCTGATGTAGCCAATTGTCTTGGAATTTTGAGAAGCCTTGTGCTATACTGTCACTTCACAAGGTTATCCTCCTGCGATTGCGAGGTCAAGTCACCACAGCGCATACTGGACCTTGAAGCGCGGATCTCTGAGATCCTCCATGGCCAGCGGCTCTCAGCAGTCCAAGCGGTTGGGTGATCCGTTGCGAATTTGGGTCAACAAAAGGAGCCAACATGGAGCCCCTGCTGGTCGAAACATGGAACCCCAAACCCACTAGGTGTTTAGAGGAAAATGGTCGAAAGCACCGGTCAGTTCTCAGGTTCCATGTTAGTTTGCAGGGGGGTATTCAGATTCACCCACCACAGCTGCTCCCCAGTCCTTGTAGTAGCGCACCATGGCCGAAGAGTTCAGCATGCCCTGCCGGTTGGTCCAGAAGGAGTCACTTGAGCACCCAGTTGATGTCGAAATGGATGGATGAATGAAGGAGTTCCCTTGCAATATGTATCCACTTCCTTTACCCACTCATATTCACCAAACGGTTGATGCTTGACTCCACACCCAAGCTTCCGAAGCCGAGGATGGACCGGTCAGCTGGTCAATAACCAACGGTCTCATCAGCCTTGTACACAATCGTCTTTGGTGACAATGAGGCCACATACAGCTCATCATAGGAGAGGGTATCTTCCACGCGTTTTCGTGCGATGTACCTTGGTGGCTCACAAGTGCTACTGGTAGCGCACTGACAGCGAATGTCACCTTCTAGGGTGCGGCCAGTAGTTAAAGAACATCCTTTCTGCGCATTCAACGCCCAAGTCTGTTGGAGGCCACAAGAGGCCCTCGTTCTTGTATCTTGGTTTAGGTTTCAAAGCTTCTTGGGAGTGGCTGGCAGGGCCGGAAAGGAAAGTGATACCGGCCACGAATACCGTCCCTCAACTTCAGAAATTAAGTATTCTCATAGTCGATCATCTGGATGTTTGAACGTCAGCAATGGATGTGCAATTCTTTCGAATTTCCACATCGATCATCATGTATCTCATAGTGTCACGTCTGAAGGATGGCTTTCTTAGAGGGACCCACCCGTCCCTATATGTAATTCTCTCTTTTCGTACGGCAACAGTACTGTTGGATCGACCGGCTGAGGAATCTCTAGATCTGGGACCTCCTCAGAAATGGCATGGAATCTGCAGCGAAACCCATCATCGATCCTTGTTTTCAAACGCCCAGTCAACGTACCTGGTCCATATGTAAAGGAAAGACAATGCTCTCCACCCTTTAAAGATTGTCAATCATCACTGCCCCAGTGGCAGTAGATTTTCCATTTCAGAACCTTTTGCTTCAACGTGCGACACAAAGATCTGTTCCTCAGATCGTTGCGTGCCACGTGGCCGGCTTGGGCGGATCGAAACCGCTTTGGCGGCCAAAGAGGGCCCCATTGAGAGGGAAGCGGAAGGAGACTGGAAGCTGATTTGCTTCGGGAATTTCTTCAGCGTGTTGCATGTACCATGCAGTGTTTCGAAAGTGAAGTCCTGTTTGTCTAAGAAGTTTTTAATGCCAGCATACGCATACAATGGTTGAACTCACACATGAGATGTACGTAGGTGATTGTAGCTAGGCAAAACGATACTAGTTACTGGGCTCTCAAAGTGATTCGTCACATCCAAACCCTCCGTGAGTTAGTTCAAGGTCCTGTTGGGTCTGTTTGCGCCTGCTCTATGCCAAACTTAAACCCACAAGTTTGAGATTCGGGACCCTCTAGGGCCTAGGGCCGGGAGAAATTCTCGGGGATTCTCTGGCAAAGTTGCGGCGTTCAAACTGGATGCCCCAAAGAAAACATAACCTCAACCCACAGCTCTCCGCCTATCTCCGCCTCTGCAACTCCAGGAGCCATCCAGGGCTCCGTTTGCTTTGAGCGCGGGCCTCAGCTTGCCCATGGTTGCCCGTGACCACACACAAAGAGCGCAAGGAGACAGTCGTTGGTGGGTGTGTGTTGAAAATAGGAGGACCTCCCAGGGTCCCAACGACCCCCTGCAAGAAGGGAAATTGATCAGTCTACCCTTTGGGCCAAGAAATTCTCCATGGTCTCCCCATTCACATGATTGAAACCCATAGTCCCATAGTTGTTCTGTGGGGTGCTCCTGTCTTCTTTGAAGATCGGTCGAAGGTCCTCATCATTTCCACCGCTTCCGCCCCCCACAACCGTCCAAGAGTCCGACAGGAATGGAAGAAGGTCGAGGTGGAAAAGGCACGAAAGGAAAACGATAGTCTCGGCAGTGATCGGGGAGCCGTCGCTCCGGCTCCTCCCTGTATCTCCTACACAGGTGCCGGTCCCACCAGTACCAGCAGCACCAGTACCACAGGTGGTGCCAGCCAGGTCTTTCAGAGCCACAGTGGAATCAACTTCTTCAGGCTCTGAACCACCACGAGGACCTCAACCGATATCACAACTGAAGAAGTTGATATCACAACTGACGGAGGACCTCAACCACCAAGAGGCCCAGCACGGTCGAATCCACTGAAACGATGCGATAGCCGAGGATTTCGAAGCCTTCCTGCGGATGTGACCGTGTGGATGTGAGGGTTTCTGCACGCCCCGTGGCGAAGAAGAATGGCCAGGCTTGCACCCAAAAGCATGTTGAATCCTTTGAGCGGGCTTGGGAGGGGGTGTTGGAGCTGCACCTGGGTGGTGAACAGGCCAATGGCGCCCATGCGAAGGATTTTGTTCAGCACATTAGGCAGATCTGCAGACCCTGACAGGCTGGAGTTTGGACATGCTGACATGCTGGTCTGGGAGTGACGGCATTTTGAGACTTACCCTTCCTCCGACAAACATGGAAGTGGACAAGGCGATCTTGGTACCTAGCACTTCCAATGGGTGTCCAATGGTGACCTATAAGCAGTGTCGGGTGGTCCATTGGTAACCCCTTGGAAATAGCTGGTAGGGAAAAGGTGTGTTTTCAAGGGCCCGTTGTCCACTTTTATGATTGCCCGAGGGGAGAGTAAAGTGGCAACGGGAGCCCGGCAAAGTGGCCCTTTCCAGGCAGCCAGGTTGGGGGGCTCGATGTGGTGCACAGTCATGGTCGCATGAAACACATCTCGAGGTGACAGGCAAATTGAACTCATCAAACCAGTCTCCCAGCTTTAGGACCTTCAGGCTCTCTCTCCAGCCCTTTCAAGAAAGTCTCCCGCCTGCAGAAGAGAAGTCTCCAACTTCATCTTGGCATCAATCCGCACGTCGCGGTCCTACAGAAGGCTGGTCGGCTCGTCCAAACAGGCTGCAGCTGGTCAGTGTGGCTCGAGCCCTCGCTCCAGTCAGCTACACCTCACCAAGTCAAGGAAGATCATCCAATCCAATATCATCCAGACCCTCCAGTCAGGGGGTGGACGTGGACGTGGACGCAAAGACGCAAACCCAAGCACCATCCGCCCAGTCCTTGGACAGGAAGAGCATACCAACAGCACAAGTGCTCCTTGGGTCATCCCCCAGGTCCCCGACTCTCTTGGAAGTCTTAAAAGTGGGCCACTTGAAATGGTCAATCTTGAGGATGACATCTTCAAACAACCTGACGGGTAACCAACGGCATCCTTAAAAGAACAGCGACTCAAACAGCGTGAACATCACAGCCGCCAAAGGTTTGAGAGAAGAAGACGGGGAGGCACTGGAGGTGTGGAGGGCCCATGAGGAACCCATCTGTAACCATTTGATCCCTTGTGACACCAGTACCATGCCATCCAGTCAGGTATCACCGGTATCGGTATAAGCTAAGGATCGCTTCCGAGAAGGGGAGACCTACTTCTTCCGTCGAGAGCACTCTGACAAGTGCACTCAGGCTCCATGTTTGAAGGGGGGTGGCATCACTCTTAGAAAGCGGCGTTCTTTCTATGTGTGATCTTTTTGCATCCTTCTGTGGGTGGCCCATGTCCCGCTCAGGGCTCACCGAGCTCGCTCGAGCTCGGTCGAGCTCGGTCGAGCTCGACGTTCGCGAGGTCAACAGGCCCATCTTCGGCCCAAAGAACTTGTCGTCTGGCAGATTCACATCTGCCGCGAAGAGCTCCCACCTCGGGATCGAGGCTCGAACCGATGCGAAAGGACGAGGCAAGGACCTGAAGACCGTCTGGCGGTTCCGAAGACCCAGGTGGCTGACTTGGAAGGGGACCAGACATATATACAAAGTCCGTGGAAAAGTAACCGCTATGCTGCTGCCATATGTTGATAGTTTGTGTCTCAGGTTGATGCACAAAATGATGTAATCCCATGGTGAACTTCATGAGAATCAGCTGCGTGGGCCACTGCGATCTTCAAACAATTTCTGGGTATACGATGAACGGCCCGAGGCCCTTTCGGTCAATCAACTCTTGAACTTCTCAGATGACATCCAACCAATGAAGTGTTAGGTCCAAGGTAGGACCAAGGTGAGACAGGTCCCGTGCTGCTTAGGTGAAAATGAGCACCCTATCCTCCAGCATCCAATAGCCTCAGCTCGCCAGCCCACTGTGGCTCACCTCTGAGCCTCTTGAGCCCAGCACCTCCCAGCACTGGGGCACCCCTCGCCCCGCGCTGGGGCCCCCAGGCGGGATCTGAGTCATCACTCCCGCTCCATCGCCGCTGTCGTCGCCACCACAGAGCCTCGAGATCTCGGCATGGAGAACGCGCAGCGGGCTGGGGAACGGGTGGTAGAAGAGGTTTTGCAATCCAATGGGTGGGTTTAGTATGGTTAATATTGGTTAATTAATCAAGTGTCGGTACTCGAGGCCATGAAAAAGCTGGCACGAAAAGGATGTGAACCCCCCTGAATTGTTAAGGTCTCTGCAAGGAGGGCTTCAAAGCCCGCTTCAGTATCATTCAGTATCCACACCTCAGTTCCAATCTCCAAATGTGATTTGGAAGAAACATGACTTTTGAAGACATCTCAAGTGGGCTCAGTCTATGGAGTTGAGAGGGGGTTGTGCCACCCACTCCGTTTCCTGCACGGGCTCTGTCTTCGGCCGGGCTGCAGGATGTTGCCTTAGATCGTTAAATCCATCAACCGAGAGCCGAGCCAGTCCGCTTGGGCACGGACTACATCTCTAGGCCTCTAGGCTCTGAAACAACCTATAGACTATAACGCTCCGTGCCGTGCCTCCAACGGGTCTTTTCATGTCTTTTCTCAACCGCCTCCCAAAAAAGATGACCTCGAAGTCTCCCAAAGAAGGATTGAGCACCTTGGTTGGAGTGAGTGAGTGGGTCAAATTTTGAGTCGTCTCTTATAGTGGATAAGAGATGATAAGAGTATATAGATGGCACAGACTCCAATGTCGATGGTTTCTATGAACCCCCCATGTGTCTAGGACATCTTGAGGTCCGTGCCATTTCTCACCTCTGAAACCACTGGTACTTCCTGATTGGGCACTCTCAACATGTCCCCTCACCCCACGACTCGCCGAACACGGTGTCCACCGTGGCGTGCAGTGGTGGCGTGCACCGCTGGCGTGGGGCGGTTCCAGGCCAAAAGCATTCCCAGTGGGTCGAGAGGGTCGATGGCAGTTACCCCAGTCGTCTTCTGGTTGATATGAAGCGCCTCATCCAAAAGACATCTTGGGGGTTGTGCCATCGAACCTTCTTGAAACATCGACACATAATAGAAACCACCTGGCAGCTTTGTTCGTAGGACATGCAGGGCATGCCACGGCCTTCCAACACAGAGGCAAGGCAGCTCGGTACCATGAAGAAGAATGACATGGACATGGAACAAGTGTCATAACACAATTAGTACCTGTTGATGAATACCTTCACCTGGTCCACCCGTGGGGTGGAGTTCGTTCTTCCACCAAAGACTGAAACCAGTTCGTCCTCCAAAGCCTAATTAAGCTGACCAGCATTGACCTGGTGTGATGTCCAGACCCTTCACCTGGTCCGGCCGTTGCTTTGTGAGACCAGCCCGGCACATGGTGGACCGACGGCTCCAAATGACATGAGATAAAAGCATGGAACACCCTTTTACAAGGGGGTGGTTGGAGGCACGGTCAACAGGATACCCCCAGTTTTGGGCGAGAAAACCGTCAGTTCCTTATGTTTCATGTAGATGTTCCTTAAAACTGAGCTCATATTGAGCTTTGTCCATCCGTAGAGCTCACATTTTTCCCACGAGTATTCACTCATGATCACGCACTGAAGCTTGAGGCCGCCAGCATTTGCTGAGAGCAGCTTTCAAGCTGACTCTTCTGCACAGGCATTTGGTTCCTTGCTAGGCCCCTCGGCTCCTTGCACTGGTATCAAGCATGTGTCGGCCAATGTATACAAAAATAAACACACGTCTAGTTGTATCAACTGATGTCACAAAAAATTGGTCTATCCTGTGCTCGAGATGAGATCTGTTGCCACTCAACTCGACCAATATCTCACTATTAACCCCACCAACGATTCGATAGATTTCGATAGTAGAAAGGTTTATATAAGAGGAGGGCCCTGGAAAGGATCACACAAAATTCAACAAATGCCCATTGACAGACCCCACCGTGGAGTTCCAGGGAGCTTCGAGATGGTGCCTTGCCAATGCTACCACATCAAGAGTAAGATTCTTGGCAGGTGGGCCCGTGTGACACTTTGACGAGCGCCTCTTCCTGCCGGACCTGTTGAAGGACCCCCTTGTCAGGACTTGCGTTCCGGAACGGAATGTCTTTTTCTAAGTATTTTCGCATATTGGTCTCAATTGAACACCCAAGTCCTGATGGGAGTCAATTTCAAGGGCTCACGCCGCAAACTGATGCCTGAGCGTCGCACCTCATCGTGCCATCACTGACTTCTTCAGTTTCCCTGGAAAACCAAGATTAAGCTTCTCCGACCTGTTCCGGGGTACTGTGGAAACCACTCCCCAAATAAGGTTTAAAATCCACTGACTGGGTATGATCAGGATTCTACCGTCCTCCAAGAAAAACACACTCGTAAGGACCCACTCGGTCGATGAAGTTCTACGCCATTTCATCATACTATCAAACCCTGAGGGTTGCCATGTAGCAGGACTCCATCGAACTCCCAAATCCTTTTGGACTTCACGGACCGCCTGGTTTCGGGCCGGGGTTCGACCCTCAGAACTCCGCGAAACCGTCGTCAGCCGTCCGTCGCCCTCGACTCGGTGTCACCAGACGCTCCAGCAGCGCCTGGGGCGGTCAGTGCCGTGCAGGCGATGTGATGGTTCCGTGAAAAGGTGGGGAGTGGAAGGGTTCAGGGAGCATGGGAACATCAGCATGTTCCAGCATTGGAGGGGAGAAATTCTCCTACCATGGCAACATGTGCAGCTTAAGAGTTTCCGTCACACTGCGAACCTTGCCTGAAGTGCTAGCTCCAGCATCTGCCTTGGCGTTCTGGCAGGAAGCACTTTCCGAAGGGCGCTGGCGCGGCATGAACTCCTGATCCCAACAGCGGTCAGACTGGCCACTGCTTGCAACAAATACGTCCACCTCGTGATGTTTATACCCTTCGAGGACACTGGTCCTCAGTCCTCATATGAGAGTTGCACCTGAGCTTCCTATCAAAACTGCAGTTGCTCTCCCCAGTCCCTCCAAGACAAACAAACTCCTAACGATCCAGCTGGTAGATGAAGTCATCTGTCAAACCCTGAGGTAGGTTGCCCAGCCAGGAATTGTGACAGTCTACAACTGAACATCCCAAGTTCATCCATCTTAGAGAACTTTACAGTGCTTTCAGAGTAGATTTCACAATCCCGAAAATGGATGGAGGTCCTCTTGCCGATTGTGCCATCTAAGCTGAAGCCACTGTACACATTCTTGTTTCGATGGCCCAGGTGGGCCTGGGCCTCGCTCCCCTAGAACAAGGGAGCATATCTAGGACATAGGCAAGTGGAAGATCGTGCGAAAAACTTGCTCCCTCAGTGTGACCTCATTGGTACTTATCCAGGTTGATAGGGATTTCATAGGCATGATATGGCATATGATATGGCATAATGGTGTCCACATGCATGAAGCCATGAAGTGTGCTCGTGTGTTTTTAGATGCTTGCCCATGACTGCTCCCCTTTTCTCACAAACCAGTCACCTGCCCAATGGGCACCCCGCTGTGCCTCGGAGGAGGCCGTGGTCGAGGCCATGGTCATGATCGAATCATCGACATCTGAGGCGTCCCATTGCGCTCCTGCCGCTGGGGTACGGAGATGGGGAAGGTGAAAATAGAGTCATGGAAGACATTGGATCACTGATTCACTGATTCATGCCCGGTCCTACCGTGACCAATCCACCAGAATCACTTATAGCGATGGCGATGACTCACTGAAAAACAGGGTGTGGACCCTAGCCAGGTGTAGAGCAAGCTAAACACGGATCAACGCATCTAAATTCTAGTGCAAAGCAAGTAAAACAAACGCGGGTGAAATCCTGAAAAGTAGGAACTTCCTCCACCACTCAGTTTCAATGAGCCGATCTTTGACTCGATCTTTGACTCACATGTGTGAGCGATAGTGTTTCAAAGGCTGGTTGTTCAGGCATAGGCTGTGACAACCTTTCAACGGCTTGCCGTGTTGCGTCCATGGCTGTGTTGAACCATGTTGAACCTTCATTCAGTAGCCATCTGAGAATTTGACAACCATATTGCAGCACACCTGCAAACTTGGTCAGTAGAGAAAAATGGGAAAAGTGATATACTCTTGTGATTGTGAGGTATTCTATAAAAGGCAGCTGTGTTCATCTGCCAGGCTACCTTCGTGCCCCAAAACATCCCAAAAGGACGCTGTGGAACCGCTCGCTGTTGAACCAAACAGTCGCAACCGAAGGACGAATCATCGGCACATGGCAGCATCGGGGGCAACAACTTACACCGTAGTTGCACCAAAAATATCTTTCTGTATCGAATACGCATATGATTGCATAGGTATACATACCCGAGAAGGGAGGAACGAAAGGCAGAAACCAGAACCAGCAGCCTCGTCCGGCTTTGGGTCCGGAGCCCGGAACTTGCCCACTTACACGTTCGTAACGAACTTCAGCCTAGCCTATAGGCTGGCTTTCGCGAACATATATACATATATATATATATATATCACAGCTTAAACGCGCCTTTTAAAGGCCACAGCAAGGCTAAA